ATATACTCATTATACTTTGCGAAAGTACAAGAGAATGCACTAAACACCCTCTATATCCTATTTCACAGGTTGTATCATTTAATAAATGTTTACTGATCCATAAAACTTTTCTCACAAATTTAAATAATGAATATATTACTAAAATAATATTTATAGAACAATTATTTAATTTTTTAAATATAAAAAATTTTAATTTTTAATTGACTACAAATATAATAGTTATTTATTTAAATTTTTAGTCATTAACTGTAACGGCCCCGGAAATTTAAATGAAATGTATGATTTAAAAATCTCAAATGCGGAAACGTAATAAAATTTTTGATTAACATCTCTTACACAATAACCAAGACATGTTTAAAACATGAAGGAACAAACTAACTAAAGGAGATACTCGAAATAAGAACTATAAATATAATTATGAAGTCTTTAGGCGTCCCCTTCGCCATCTTCCTGCGGAACGGGCTTGGGAACAACGTCTTCCTGATCTGAAATGGTTAAATAAGGAATGAGCTACACCAGCCCAGTAAAGACATCACACTATCTCACCGCCACGGAAGTAAAGGTGGGTAGAAAACAAAAATGACCAATGGAGCATAATTTATAACAAACTCGTTTATTAACATAAAAATCTTTACTGTCCACTTACCTCGATGAGATCCGGAAAACAATATATGAAAGCAATAACATTATCATCATCATGAAATCATATAGGCATTATAACATAACACTTACCACGCCTTTGCATTTCAATCATTAAAAAACATATTTTTCTATTTTACCAACCTACTAGTATCCATGGGGATCTATAGGGATTCACGCTACACGTGAACCATTAACATTAATAATCTGATTCCAGGGCCGTCCCCATACCCCGTCCGGTATGGGCGCCAAAACCATAAACCTCCATACCCCGTCCGGTATGAGGGTGAAACGAGCCGTCCCCATACCCTGTCCAGTATGGGCGCCAAAACACATAAGGTCTCCATACCCCATCCGATATGAGATACCACGTTCCCGGTAGGGTTCCCTACGGACCCGGTCCGTCCACCATCTCCCAGGATATCTAGTCAGGCGGTCCACATTATCCCTTTATCAATTCACATAACTTTTTTGCCTTTTTTCTTGATCTCAATCATCCAATCATGCACAACATGTAAACCAGTAATTGATACCAAACAAGACAACACAGTATCAGGTTCACCATAATACAAACTTTAATAAAAGAAACCATGATTCATACATACGAGACCATAACATAATTACATCAAACATCATACTACATTTAATACTGAAAATTAGATCAAACAATAACTGACCAACAATGTATCAGACTCGGGCTCCATTGGCAACCTTAATCAATTATACATCTATAAAGTCACAAAGTACAGTTTAATTATTTATTTGGATTTAATACCGTGATAGGAAATAGGGTGAGGGGTCCTTACTTGTTTCGGGGTCTGAAATCGACTCTACAGTGCACCTACGGGCTGTCCCTAATTTTTCTGAATTTTTTTCGAAAAACTGAAACGCACTACCGGTACCTGCACGTATCTCAGAAAAATCCCGAATCAGACCTAGGACCCCTTTTGGCCAATATCAGAATTCCGGCATGGCGGCTCCGTCGTGCTCCGGCGACGGCGCCGCCGCTTGCGGCGGCGATTCACCTCGGGTTGGTCATTGTTGGCCGAATTCGGCCACACTTGCATCGGTCTCTGCGATAAAACAACCCTAGGGCCCTCGGTGGGCCAAAAAATCACGAAAAACCGAAACTTACCGACGACGGTGCTCTCGGGTGCGGCGGCTCTTCCGGCGTGAGTCGTGTTTTGATGTTTGGCTCTGATCAACCTGTAGAGAAAATAACGGTGATCACAGTGATATAAAATTTGCATCGAACGGAGGCCAGGAAGGGCCTCATTAAAGGTAAAAATAGAGGGGGAGCGTGGCGGCGCCGCTGGGCTTCGGCTGGGTTTTTCGGCCGTTCGGCCGGTGGTTTAGCTCCGGTTTGGCCATAGGCGGACTCAGCATCGAAAAACGAGCTAGGGGGAGAAAATTTACCTCGATCGGTGGTCGGAAACTTCCCCGGTGCGGCCGCGGGTGGCGGCGGCCGGCTCCTCCAGCGTCTGGTTCTTCTTCTCCGGCGAGGCACTGGCGGCTAGGGTTTTGTGGTCAGGTGTGGGTTGGGTTATTTATACCATTTGCCTTTTAATCTCAACCGTCCATCAAGATTAAATCTGGACCGTCCGATCGCGATTTAATTAGGATTAAATCTGGGACGTCCATCGCGATGCAATCTGGGTCATCCGTGCCTGATTGAATCTGGATCGTCCGTACACGTGAATCTGGGCCGTCCATGCGCACGTTTGATCTGGGTCGTCCGATCGCGCGCACACGGATCACCCACGTGGCCCGTCCCGTGTCAGCGTTCCCTTGCCACGCGGCGTGTCCTGGTTGGCCAAGGCTGCTGATGTGGCACAACTTTTCTAAATTGCATTTTGAGCTCTGATTTTCGATTTTCTTTTCAAAAATACTCCCATAATCCAGATTTTCACCTCTTTTTTCCAAAATTAATTTCAATTAAATCCAAATAATATTTTTACCCAATTTTATCATTATTATTATTTTTATTTTCATTAAATTAAATTAAATAAAAATAAAGAAAATAAAAATAATAAGAATAAAATTAAAAATACTTGGGTGTTACAATAACATATTATAAAATTATATACTATATAAACTATGGATCACCTATTTGTTTTTTACACCCCATTTATTGTATAAAGTTTTTACTAAAAATAAGGTATGATATAATTTTCATTAAGATTTTTTTTATTTTATAAAAAATTATTGTAAAATAATATTCTTTATAAAATATTACAAAAAAAAAATTAAAACTATATATTATGCATAGCTAAAGCTGAAAAACTTTTTATTTTTTATTTTTTTAACTTGCCTATAAAATTTTCCAAACTTATATTTTCTTTATATTAATATATACTTAAAATACGTGCACGTAGAGGTAGGGTGACGTGACACACCGTTATATATATATAGATATAATTGTAAAAAATTAATATTTACTTAAAAATGCGTGTATTCTCCATTAAAAAATTAATTTTTTTTTTATGTTCTTTTAAATTTATATGGAAAACATAATTCTAAAAAGTTATGAGACAAAAATAAGTTGCCTACATGCAAAGAATTTACATAACAATATGAATTCCATGAGCCCTAACCAGATGTGGCCAAATCTACCATTTTCACATTTCATATTTAATGATTTACTCATATCACTATATACATTTAATTGCTTCTTTAATATTCTCTACTTAATTTTAGTACAAATAATTATTTTAATATAATAAAAAGGGATTAGAATATATATATATATATATATATATAAATGTTCTATAGCCAGAGACCAGCTTAATATACTATTTTTGTATTTTTAAGTTTTTCCAATATCATCACTGAAATAAAATATTTTCATGTTTAATATATGATTTTTAGGGTTTTGGGTTTTAATTAACATAAACTAGTTTCATCTTTCATATTAGTTATTTAGTTAAGTGACTAAATACGTTTAATTGCTTATTTAATGTTATAGGTTGAAAAGATAATTAATTATTATTATTATTCTAAATCCTTGAATTATTATAACCATTCATACAATTTAGGTGCAATAAATTACCTTAAACACTATTTTTTCTCAAATAACATCCATAACTTAACCCCCAAAAAAAAAAAAAAAAGGCAAAATCAATTTATGCTTTGTTTGAACTTCTTCTTTCTATGACATTTTTTCTAAAACTTTTTGTCATAGAGACATCTTAGAGCTATTGTATTTCATAAATCATTATTATTAATCATAAATTAATCTTATTAGGATTTCAAATAAAAGTAAATTTTTTTAAAAAATTATACATTTAAAATTATTTGTTTATTTATAAAAGAAATACTCAATGACAATTATACTCTTTTAATTGAGATAAGTACAGATGATAATGGGATAAGTTTGAAAATTATAGTAAAAATTTGCTTCTCTTCTTATTTGTTTCCGTTCTCTACGTTTTCACGAGTAATGACAGATTTTATTTTCTTTTTTAATTTCACGGTTTAATTTTTAGCAATAAAAGAAGAATGTGTCACATGTATTGCATTAATTTTATATTAACTTATGGACAATTTTTGGAGTGAAGTTGTATTTTGAAATAATTTGAAAATTAATAAAAAATACACATGTAACTTAATTGTAATGTTAATAATAATTTAGAGATTAATATTTGTCATCAATTATTAATGCGAGGAACTTAAAAAAGATTGAAAATATAAAACCAATGTAACAAAAATGTGGACAAATATCCAATTTAATTTTCCAAATATAATAAATATTATAATTTAATTTTAAATATTTTTTATTATAATTTAATCTGTAATTATCTAGTTTCATTTAAAAATTTAACAACTGTTAAAATTAAATAAAAAAAATATAACTTGCATCAATCATCATAAATATCTCTCTTGTCTACATTCATCTTCACCTACTGTATAAAGAAAACGTTTCATTACATTCAATTTGAATTTGCGAAATTTACGGTTTATGAGACACGTATTTATATATGTAATGTATTTATGTATAAAAAATAAAGATGATTTGAATATTTTACATAGAAATAAAATAAAATTTATTCAATTAAAAAAGAGGGAAAAATTTTGAGAGCTAATTTTGAAATTGAAACAAATGGAGAGATGTATTTAGGTTAGTTAATATGGTAATAGAGAGGGAAAAAGAAGAAAAAATATAAATGGGTGGTATGGGACAACTGTATCTTACCAGCATCAAGTTTCATGTTTTTTCACATGCAGACGCGGACCTTACGTGGCATGATATGGGAGGCGTTTCTTCTAAAAAGGGTGCGACTATGGGTGATGAAATCAGTCCCACCCACCATCCTCATATCAACTCCACTTGACAGGTCACGGAATCCCACGAAACCGCCCGGTCACCGTATCACTGTCCGAAAAAGAAAACAGAGAAGACGACTTTGTTAAGCGGTGTGTCTTCAAGTGTCGTGCATGCATTTTATGCATCTGTTTGCTTTGCATGCACTCTCTCTCTCTCTCTTCTCTCTCTCTCTCTCTATCTCTCTCTCTCTCTCCCTCTCATATACCCATAACGCAAAACTAACGCAGGCACGCTGTTTTGGTCTTTATATATCTCACCTTCCTCCTCAAAAATCCAAACCCCCGTTACGTTTTACTCACCTCTGCTTTAACTGCCGCCACCACCACCTTTTAACCCAGTTCACTCTCTACTGGGTGCGCGGCTCTCTTCATCTCTTGATTGAATCAGTGTTCTCAAGATTTGGGTTTCACTGATTTCAACGAGGTTGGTCACATTCCTTTACTATCATCACCATGATGATGCTGTATTGTGCATGTTTTGAACCGTTTGTTTTTCATGATTGAGGTGATTTCTTGACGAATTCTGTGTTGTCGTGAAAAGGGATGTTAGGGTTTCGATTCTGATTGCGATTAATTTTCTCGTGTTGCAGATGGGGAAGTTTGATTTTGAGGGAGGTGGGGGAAGTCAAATGGGGTCAAAGATTTGCATGAACACGTCATGTGCGACGGCAACGACTCATGAATGGAAGAAAGGCTGGCGTCTGGGATCTGGCGGATACGCTGATCTCTGCTTCCGTTGCGGGTAATTCTTGTTCTATTTTTAGCTTCTTCTCGCTTTGGATTTGGATTGATCAAGGTTGATTCGGTGATTTAAAAGAGAAAAAAAGGGGCATTTTGGGGATGCAGGTTTTGCCGCGTAGTATGGTTTAACATGGGTATTGATTTCTGCATGTTTTTAGTTTTCTCGCTAATTGGGTTTCGATTCAATGAATTTTTACTCCCATGGATATTAATTTTGAGCATAGACGTTTGATTAAAAAAAAAAAATCCTTCGTTCGAGGGATTTTGTTTTCATCCAACGTTGGCTGGCTCCTTGTTCGGAATGTATGTTCTAATCATGGAAAAATTTACCAACTTATTATTGCATTAGAATGATGATCCAATAATGTGGAGGTTGCTGATAACTTTTCATTAATACCATAATGCAATTTTTTAGCCAAAAAAATTAAATCACAGCGTAATTACTTCATATTGGGATTTGAGGCTTTATGAATTTTAGAAAATTAAGTGAACTCCAAATGACTTCTTGTGGCCTATAAATATAGAGAACAACTATAAACTCTACCACATTATGGCTACCTCTGTAATTTGCTCAATTCTGACGTTTTTCACTTGGTACTATCCTTGGTCTGAGTTAACTGATTTTTTAGTTAAGATGTTTACTGAATTGGGTAATGATATTATGCTAGAAAAATTGGTTATCTTACTACATTGTTTTGGAAAAGTTGTCAATCTTATCCCAGAAAGAGAAAACCAAACTTGGACAAGATTTGCTACTAATCTGATGACATAGATTTATTCATTATATAAATACAAATGTCTGATGTGAGGGAAGTGCATGGCCTGTAACCTGGTATGGGTTATTAGTGAACAACTGATAATGCTCTCATTTATTGCACAATTGATGCTCCATATCACATTTGAAAAGAGAATTCATTTTTGATAACATTTGATTTTATTGAGATCTCCTTCCAGATAATGATTTCTTACTAATATCTTAATGGTTAACTGATGTTACACTTCTGTGGTGAGGTACATGTGAATTTATTATGCTAATTTTTGTTAGATTTGTATGGCATAATTGTTCTCCATTTATTGTATTTCATTTTTCAATTAAATTGTGTTTGTACTTCCATTATTTTTTTTCACAATCTATAAACTTCTCCACCTCATGCTTCAAAATCTATAAATGTTAATTGATAAGATAAAAACCTTTAGCTTTTTGGTTTAACAAACACTATCTAATACTTTTTGTTTTAAAAAAGAACAAGTAAATATTTTCTTCACAATTTTCCTTGAGTTTGTCTGTTTAGTTTAGAAATGGTAGGTTTTCAAATATTTCCTAATTTTCTTTTGCTGCTATATGTTTTAGATCTGCCTATGAGAGTTTCATTTTCTGTGATACATTTCACTCAGAAGAATCTGGTTGGAGGAAATGTTACTTTTGCAGTAAGGTAATTGGTTTATTTTGTTCTATTCAAGTGCCCTTTTCTGGGGCATGGGTTGAATATCTCAAGTCTTTTTGAAACTGGTATGGCAGCGTCTTCACTGTGGATGCATAGCCTCAGAGTCTTTAGTTCAGCTCCTAGATTATGGTGGTGTTGGGTGTACTGGTTGTGCAAAGAGCTCTCAGTTGAATTTGGTAAGAAACTTATTGATTGTTTACTTTATTAATCAACTAGAAATGTAATTTCACCTTGTTCATTATTATCAACTTAATAGTGCATGGTTAAACAATCTTTGTTGGTCTAAGTGCTGGTACATATGCTTCTGGAAAATAAAGCTATGCATGATTGCACATGATTGAAAATGCATGTGCACGCTGCAAGCAATGTCAGCACAGGTAACTGTTGATACTTCAGTTTCACTTTCATCTGTATCAAACCTGTTCAAACAGACTGGGAACTTAAACAATGGACATGCTGCATATGTGATAGTTATTTGGTCCCGAGTTCCAGTCATGTTTCATAACATGTAAACCATTCCTTAAATTCCGATAACGGGCATGGTTTAAACTGCCATGAAAAATTCCAGTGCTGTCTGAGGGAGCCTTGTTTTTCAAAACTGTATTGGTAGCCACATTTTGTAGGTGCTCCAAATGATTTCTTTGAGGATGCTTCCAGCCGAGTTGTTTTATTATCTACCATGGCAGGGATGAAAATTTTTAAGTTCCAGTAGTCAGAGTAATTAAATGGTCACTAGACATGTAGGCGTTCTTGAGTTTTTCATGATTTTTCTGTTTTTTTTTTTTTTTTATTCTTTCTGTTCAGGTAAGGAGAAATGAAATATCTCATGGATTTGGTGGATTAACGATAAATACTACCAATAATGTACAAGTCATCGGTGCTGAAAATGGTAATAATGTTGATGGAGAAAGACTGTCTCAGTTGTGCAAAATTATGGAGGCTAATGAACCTGACCTCTTTCCTCAATCTCAAAGAGGTGATACAAATGTATCTTTCAATCAAGACAGGCAAGGAGAGTTCATGCATCCAATTGGGGAAATTGGCACAAGTTTATCAAATGCAATTAAATCATCAAGTGGATCATCTAAGTTTGCCAAACCAGACAATAGTAGATCAATCCTAGACACTAGAAATATGTGTGATTCACTAGCTCAACCATCTTTAAGTATGACTTTGGGAGCACCATCAGGAACCTTAAGCCGGGGATTGCCCTTTTCAAGTGGGATTGCTGATGGCCAGGAAGAGAGCAAAGGTCCTTCTTTTCAGCAGGGGCAACAATCTCGCCCTATATTGCCAAAACCCTCTAGATCTAACACTGCACTTTCAGATACGAACAAGAGTGCAGTTCCTCATATGCGAATTGCAAGACCTCCTGTTGAGGGGCGAGGGAAAAATCATTTACTTCCTCGATACTGGCCGAGGATTACCGATCAAGAACTGCAGCAGCTATCTGGAGAGTATCCATGATAGTTTTATTTCATTGTCTCTTAATTTTTAAAGCATTTGTTTTTTCTTTTAGGACTAGAATGTTTCCAATATAATATGTATTGCCCTGTCATCCATTGGTTTGCCCATAGTGTGTACCTTAATTATATTATCTTCAAGTTTGAATTCAAATATTGTGCCACTCTTTGAGAAGGTTCTGAGTGCCAGTGATGCTGGCCGTATTGGTCGTTTGGTTCTTCCAAAAGCATGTGCAGAAGTAAGTTTTAAAACTGCAATTCCCTTTGTACTATTCTGGTAATGTTCTAGTTTGATATATTACTTTTTTATGAGTTTCATCTACCCTCTTCTCTCTCTTCTCACTCTTTGAGCCTTATTTTTCATTATCTGGAATTTTTATGCAGGCATATTTTCCTCCTATTAATCAATCAGAGGGCCTTCCTTTAAAGATTCAAGATGTTAAGGGTAAAGAGTGGTCATTTCAGTTCAGGTTTTGGCCCAATAACAATAGTAGGATGTATGTTTTGGAGGGTGTAACTCCTTGCATACAGTCTATGCAATTGAAGGCAGGTGATACTGGTATGATTCATTTTCATTCTCGTCCAGTAGATAATACTTTCATACACATTGATAACAGTTTTTATGCTTGGTTTAATTATATGTTAGCACTAGCCATGGAGATATTTATGTCCAAAGCACTTACAGGCTAATGCTGTTGTTAATTTTCATATTGGTGTTGTTATGTTGTTGGTATACATTTGTGTCTCTCTCCTCATCAGTGTTTTATAGAAGTTCCTCTTTCTTGTTTTTTAGGACTTCTTAATTACTTCGACCTTTTCCTTAACAAAACTTCATTTCTATTTGCAGTAACATTTAGTCGCATAGATCCCAGCGGAAGACTTGTTATAGGTTTTCGAAAGGCAACCAACAACGAAGACCAGCTGGTCAGGCTTTTTAGTATAATATATTTTGATACTCTTTTATTTTAACCATTCACTTTTTCTTCACTTGTTACAAAAAAGCATGTATGTAAACAGGACTCCCGAACATCTGCCATTCCTAATTGCACTTCTTTGAAGGAGACTTCATATAATGGTGGTATTGAGAGTTTGCATACAGTAAGTGGTTACTCTGGTATTGTTGGGACAATGAAAGGAGGAATGGACCCTCACATAAATGCCCTATCTGAACATTTGAGTTCAGCTGATATTGATATTGGTTGGCACAAAAATGAGAGCCATGGAGACAGGAATGGGGATTCATCACATCAATCAATTCTGAATGCTGAGAAGAAGAGGACTCGTAATATTGGGTCCAAAAGTAAGAGGTTGCTGATGCACAGTGAAGATGTGCTGGAGCTAAGACTTACATGGGAGGAAGCACAGGACTTGCTTCGTCCTCCCCCTACTAGCAAGCCAAGTGTTGTCACCATTGAGGACCTTGAATTTGAAGAATATGATGTAAGTCGGTCAGGGTCAATCTCTTTCTTTGTTTTTCTCGCTTATGCTACGTTGGATTTTTAGTTTTACATTTGAATTACATCATGTTTCTGGCTAGCTGTATGACAAATGCTGTCCATGTCATATAGGAACCCCCGGTTTTTGGAAAGAGGACAATATTCACTTCTCAGCCTTCTGGGTAAGGATATAGATAATATATATTTGACTATATTCTATTATAGTATGGTAGAAGTGACAAAATCTTGAAAGAAAAATATCTTCCGCTAGAGGATCAGTCCACTGGTGATGCTAAACTTAGAGTCGGTTGTCATATAAAATGTTAGGCTCTGATTAGTACATGAAATTATTTTCTACTTCTTATTTTCTGAGTTTGTCTGTATACAAAAATATTTGTTGAAAATGAAATCAAGGTTTAAAAAAATCATAATGAAAATATTAACATGATATTTCAAATAATTTTATATACTGAAAACATGACACAAGTTTAAAAAGAATCTCTTGTTTCAAAAGAATGCCATAGTTTTAAATAATTGTTTTCAAAACTTTATATTCATTTTCAACAACTAAACATATTTTTGTGCATTAAGCATATATGCATACAAAATAAAAACAAAAAAAACTATTTTCATGTGGCAAATGGCCTAGACTTAGAGTATCCATTTTCTGAACTGTAATTTTGGGTAACAAGCATAGTGTTCAATTACCTTACTATGTTGGTTGTTGATACACAACCGGAACCTGCTAGCTAAAACTACATAAGAAGACAAGGTGAGCTACTATGAGTAAAGTTTTTGTATGTTAGGTTGAAAGAATGAAACCGACATACCTTAATGTTATGTAGAAAGACTGACCTGTAAAATAAATTTCACATTACTACATTCATGACATGGGTCATCTATGTTTGATAGTGGTAATTGATGATAAATTTAGTAATCAACAGATTACATTATATGTCCAGTGGACAGGAACAATGGGCTCAGTGTGATGATTGCTCTAAATGGAGGAAGTTACCCATAGATGTTCTTCTTCCACCAAA